ACCGACATTTACGTTTCAATAGTTACACATTGAGTTATAACAATATCACGTGATTACATTAATGGTTATTTTTGGAAGGGAATGTACAAATTATTTCATTGAATTAATGCGGGTAAATAACAATTCGTAGGTAGGTAGGAGAGGAACTCCCAAATGGCAAATCTCTTTCAGATGTCATTTCAATATAACTATTTATACAGTTCATAGGTAGATATGTTTATGAATATTGCCATTGAAAAATGGTTAAGAATTATTTAAAAATGTCGATTTCCTTATAAGGATTTCGTACGTGAAACTATCCACCTGTGCCCAACTGAAAATTTGAGAAATCAGCGATCAAATTCACGATTTTGGAATTACTGGTAAACGAATTCACTTACATTCTGAGTGACTTTCTTTAGATAATACATAACGGTTACACAATACAAGTGAAAATCGTGATATAAAAGTGGCAAGTACCAGAATCGTAAATATCTTCCCAAGTAGGTATTACCGTAAAGACGTAAAACTGCCGACTTACCTTTTGTTTTTACGGGCCGCCGTTCTTCCTGAACCTCCGAGCAAATATTGCACTTTGTAGCCGTCCACAAGAGTTCAACAGTACTTAATCATTATTAGGGTAAACTTTATTCAAAAATCTAGATTACACCGAAGAAAAAGTCACTTAAAAGATGGCGACCGAGTAGTAGTTAACCGATAAATAATTCTCTTTCACGGTCATTTTTCATGTTTGTTGGTCAACAAATCGGGATGTAAACAACACAATTCACTGGATTACTGTTTCTTTTGTCACTCTGGCCAGATGAATCTGTGATGGCGAGCTCCTTAACAGTTGATAAATGCACAAGTAACTTGACATGCGTTTTCAAGTATCGCAGATTGATCTACTTTGAAATGTTTTGCATGCATAGAAGTGTGGAAGAGCAACACACAGATGGATTAGGTGACAGCAGCAGGGCCGGTGTCGAGTCGAACAGTGGGAAAATAAACAAACTATTATACCGGCACGTCAAGTCGCCCTCTATTTACTTTTAGAAAAAACGCAGTTTGACCTGGTAATGATTTTCATGATTCTTTTCATCGATTTTTTGTGGTCTAGGGTTATAATTAACAGCTTACTGTAAAATAATCGAATGTGATTAATATTTTGAAAACTATTTTTGACTAACAACAAAAACTGACTCTAGTATTTAGAGGTAAAAAAATAAACGTAAATTGGACTTGAAATTACTTTGTTTTGTTCAAGTAGAATAAGTTCCCATGGAAAATGTCATTAATTTTTTTTTTCATAGAATTCGAGTAAAGTCTAATAACCCATTATATATCAGGAACTTGGCCGTATTTGTTTCAAATACAACTTTCTGTATTTTCATCATTGTCAGATTATGAATTCTACTAGAATAAATGCTTTATAGAATGAACCGTCTATATCTAATTGTAAGGCAAGACTTTTTTCATTTGAAAAGTATAGAATAAGCCAGATGGACACATGAAAAAAAATGTAATAGGTGTAAAAAAATCGTGAATGATGAAAAATGGTAGAAATTTGAACAGAAACCGCAGGCACCAATAACAAGTGTGACGTCAGAAAGCTGTATAAGTCAGACTTACGGGGCGTGTATGTCTTAACATAGTTTTGTAATCTGTGAATACAAAACCGCAACACGTGTTTTACAGTACAATAACTTTGTCATTAGGAAATATGCCTGAAAAGAACTATTGGTATAATGCGAAACACGTTTTGCGGTTATGTGAACTCTAGCAATGAAGTGTTACTAAAAAACATTATAGTTTCTCATCAAGTATGTGCCAATACCACCACAAAATCTAAAGTGTTATTTACACGGCGCGAAAATTTCTGTTGGTTGAACTCCTCGTACGTTGACAGAATTGGCCAGAATTGCCGTAATTCGCAAATTCTACCACTCTTTAAAGTAAAATATACAGGGTGGCCCACCACATAAGTTTTAAGTATGAGAAATATAATAGTAACTCACCTTTATTTTGTCTATAGTATCTAAAAATATTAAAAAATATAGGGTGTTTCATGAAAAAATATAACTTTGGTATGTAACTTGTTTGGAAGTCACCCTGTACATTTCAAAGTAATTTTGGAATATGCTCCTCATGGACACACATATAACTGTGCTGAAAGTGGTTCCCCAACTCTCTTCATTTTTCGTAGAAATACCGAGGCGAATGTGGTGGGCCACCCTGTATACATAATCGCGATAGATAAAGATAAATATCCTTTTTTGTAATAAGTGTTTGATTTTGACTAGCCTTTCTATCGACTAATGATTTGCTCTACAAGTTTAGTTGGAAATGAATTATGTTTTTATCCAGCAGAAACATGCCTTTCCAATGTCTTAGGGCAAATTTTTTCTTCCTTAGAAGTTAGTATAACCAAAGCATCTTCAGGTTTGAAGACACACCCGGTCTATGACTTCCTTGCAGAAACCTGTTCTCCGTTCAATAGGAACAGATTGTCTGAATATATTAGGCAACCTCGAGTTGATTTTTGACTAGTTCTCGTTAATCTTTCTCAACTGGTTCCCAACAATAAACAGATTGCCAAAGCTGGTCGGAGAAGTGAAAAACACTCAAAAAATTAAAAACTTGTCATGTTTTGGCAAGACTTATAATAACCCCTCAAATCGGTGAGATCAAGAGGATTAACTGAATTGATATAGACAGTTCATAGAGCTTTTGGTGTTGCTTGGTTATTTTACCAATTTGGAGATACATAGTTTGAAAGTTAATGGGGGTTATTCCAAGCACGTTAGCGTTATTAAAAGCAACACAATCTGAGACGTTAGACCGTGTTCGAATGGATCCTGAAGTACCAAACGATTCGTCTTTTACGTCGTCAGGCGAAACGTTTGGTACTTTAGATTTTATTCGATCACGGCTTACCATCCCAGATTTTGTTCTCTTTAATCGTGAAAGCATATGTTCTTATATTGTAAGCGTAATTATCATGTGGTATTCTTTCAATAAATATTTACCTACACGTTTCTAAGTATTACCTATTCATTACAAGAGCTTCTTAGTTCTCTAACTGTAGATTACGTTAACAAACCTGAGGTTACGTGGTGCAGCCATGAAACGACTTATAGCCCTCGCGAACGAGCATGAATGTGCTTTGTACCAAATTCTTGGGTAACAGAAGCTGAATCTCCCAAACAACAACCGCCCAATTCAGTGCTGTTTACTAGTCACTAGTCATCTGTAACTACCATTTAATTTTAGTAAAATTATCCGATTGACAAACCAACCGAAAAACGTTGAATTCCATAGTATTTTTTTGGGAAAGAAAGTTTTTGGCTTTCTACTTCTCCATCTTGATACAAAAAAATACAAAAAAGTGCAATTTATTACCATTCATTGAAAGTAGAACTCATGTGAATGATATCTGATTTTTATTCCACAACGAATGTTTGAAATACAAACTGACTAGAGAAAAGTATCTTCTGTATAATTCAGTGTTCATATAGANAATCCAAAAATGTATTTTCTTGGCTATAAGCCTATTTTGTTTTATATAAGTCAAATATTATAAATGTGCAATTTACTTAATTTGATACTTCCTGTTGCCTGACAAGTAAGTAATCTCAAACAATTTTTTCCAAATTTCTCAACCTTAAAAAATTTTACAACTTCAATTATCACTAAATTCCCTTTTCAACTAGATCACTTACTTTCAGGTGAGCACTGATGATGACGAAAGTCGAAAGCGCTTTGCAATAATTTTGAAAATTATACACTTCAATACAAAACCTCTTCGATTCATTAAATCATAATTTCCTTGTCTGTTGAAAACGAAAATTTTATATATTATCATTTAACATTTTTTATATCCACAAGAGACCCAATCTACAAAAAGAGTAGGACCGTCTCTGTGCTAAACTCAGAAATTGTGGTACTTAGAGTTATGCAACCTATAATACTGTAAAAATCGTTCGCTACATAACAGCATATCATAACAGAAGTTCACACGAGTATGATTAGGGAAAGTAACTGTTGAGGGCGCTCGTGTCTGAGTCTGGGTAATATCAGATTTAATCTGTGGTAATATCATAACCGTCTTGTTTGTTGTTTGAATAATGAAACCAAAAACGAATAATCACTTATTAAAATTTCTGAATCTGTTTCATTTCCTAAAAAGAGTTCACGATAAATAATTTTTCTTATCAACGTTGTACACTGGAATGTCGACTGATAAATAACACTTTGAATGTTTCCACTCCAGAACACTATGATTTTTTCGAATAAGACATCGTATAAATTAAAATTGTAAGTGAAAGTTGCATAGAAGTGTCATCTAGTTTAAGTAAGTTCTAACCATCTCTTGCAGTAGTTACAGCGTTACCTTTATATAACCATTAATGTTTATATACAAAGGCCTGTATGCCTGTACAGTATGTTACAGTTGATTTGAATTATTTTTTGAAAGATGGCAGCACATAATCAGAATCAGAGTTTTCCTCTAAAACAAAAAATCACTGAAACCCCCAAACGTTTGTAATGGAAATGTATCCAATATAATGGAGGGTAAAAGATAAAAGAAATGGATTTCAAAATTAACTGTAAATATTGACTGTTTCACATTTTTCCTCAAAAATTTAGAAATTGCAGTGAATGTGATTACCGTAATGGAGAAAATGATATTTCATTGAGGAACGGGAGTGAATGTAAACATGTAAGTACCTGAATATATGAATGAAAAATTGAATAAAAAGGACAGTGAAAAAGTGAAAATTTGTAGTGTTACCATAGCAACAGTAACAACCTACCTATGATTTCATAACTACTGAACTTTTTATCACATAATGATAAACTATTGCCTGGACATAAAGGAAGGTGAGCATTGTATTTCAATCAATGTTTTTCTGTCTATATTTTTAGTTTTTTGTGTTGTATTGATTACTATGCGCCTTGCGGATTAACCATGTAATTCGAATCAATTGCAGTTTCCTCCATTATCGACGATGTCCATTGTGAACTTTGGTTGTGTTAAATAATCAATAAACAACAGTTCCTGTGAGTTATTAATATATTAGTTTAAATATGGAGATATACCTCAATACTAACGTGTAAATATGAAGACAAAAAATTTCGAAATCAAGCTACTGTCATCATTTGAAAAATAACTTCTGCCAGCTGTCAAATCTCGGCCCATTTTCGTATCCTTGGCGACAGATAACCCTAGCAACCAAAACAACATAGAAACATTAGGTAAAATTTAAAATTGAGCATTTTTTATGTTTTTTTTTGCACCGCTAAAATAGACTAGTCGCACGATTTCAATGTCTAATTTTGACTTGAACACATTTTTGGTTTTAATGAATCATTGCTTTCATTTTGCAAAAATAAATTGCTTTGAATTTAGGAATGAAAATCATTTTTGGGTTTTTTCACCTTCTGTAGACTTGTAAAGTAGGTAAATTAAAGTAGAAATAAAAACATGCACAGGTTTAGAAGATTTAAGTTTCTAGTTCAACCTGAAAAGTTACTGTTTCAACACCAAAATAATTTTCTCAGAAAACAAATATCCTATTCATCAATAACTTTTTTTTTTACTAATGAAAACATTTTATTAAAACAACGATAAAAATAAATTAAAAACAACAATAAAAATTAATTGGCACTCCGGGGCGACTTCATTGATTCCAGTGGCGCATTTGCTTTTTCAGCTGCAGGAAAACCCGGAAAAACCTGCAGCACCACATCATCTGAATATCTTGATCTAACAATGTCCTCTCTCTTATAAAACAAAATGTAGGGTGTCTCCAGAGGCTCCAATAAATTCAATACATCACCAGAACACTTCGTGACACGACTATCGTCAAACTTAAACCAATCCGTTTCTTCTTTGACCAAGGCGTAATAATGACCAAATTCAACGCCAGCTATACTTGTTTCCTTATAACAGTCAGTTAGTTTGGCGCATGTTTGACAATACAGTCGATCATCACCTGTTAAAAATTCCATTTTCAGATGATTTAACAATAAGCTTTGCACGGACTGGTTATTAGTCGTATTAGCAATAACTTATCATATTTGATTTTTCCAATCCAAATATTCCTGTTACTTTTTTTAATGACAGTTTCAATATATCTCATCAAAGTGAATTGAAACTATTTCTGTCATTATATTACTTTGAAAAAACAAATAGATTTTCAATCCTATTGTCAACATGGATAAAAAATATTGAGACATAACTATCTACTATTTGTCTTAATATTCTCAGCTTATTTGCATTTTTAACTCCTACATCTACAAAAATTTGAAACTACCGTTTGTACTTGGTAGTACTTGGTCTCAAAATTTTGAAGTAGCTAATATGTCATTCCAAATACCATTCTTTCGAATATTTTTTAATAATAATAATAATGAAAGAACATTCAATTCCGGACTAGTTTGTGTACTTCTTTTACGATATTTTTGCTTTTCCTCTACAAGTAGTGATGGAGCTTTCGAAATTACAATGTGTCTCAAAGGAATGTTAGGCTTTGGTAGTTTCACTGTACTTGTTGAGAAATCAGTTGGATACGTTTTTCTGATGTCTGATTTTTGTTAGATTTTGAATGCAGTAATTTGTTGCATTCTCATAATTCCTTCAACAGGTTTATATTGAGAGAACTGTAGTTGATTTGTCACCTAAAAAGGACTGATTTTTTTCATCAATTGAACAGTTTATCACTATGGAGGAGACAAGAATTTACCAATTGAAATAGCCAATGATTGAAGAGCTGAATATTAGGTGTAATGTTCTTTCATGACTTTATCATAATACAAGTAATTTTAATTTCAACAAGCACTGGAGAATCGTGATAAGATCTGCTTCTCTAGATAATCAAATTAAAATATTTTCAGCTCAGTAATTGTAATTACCATACTGTCAAAAATTTGCATGATAATAACACATTTCTGATCATAGCAAGATTATGTATAAATAAAATTTCAATTTGGGGTTGAGTTTTATCAACAGGAACTTGGCATCACTATGGATTATCCATTATTCAAAGAAAAAGGAATACCAAAGTATAACTCTTCATTGATTCAGACTATCTACTGTTGAAAAAAGTTATAAAAAAATATTTCTTCAACAGACCTCACGGGAGTTTAGAATTTCACATGAAATGTTGATGAATTGTCTGATAACAATCTGTTTCGAATGAAAACACATACCAAGATAAATTGTATACCCTGGTAAAAAATGTAGCAGTCATGTAGCAAGCAGATGACCATTAACACCTTTTATTGGTAATTAACATTGTTATATTCTACACTTTAAATGGGTGACGTTACAGCTTCTTTAAAAAAAAAATATCTGAGCTTGCAAACAATACCTAACAACTTGAAACAAAAAAAAAATAACATACCTTATTGATCGTATTGAAAGTCATTTTTATCCAATAACTATTTATAAATAGATGATATTTGAAAAACCTATCTTTTATAAAGATATATAAAATGCTAGGATGATAGCGAACTCATGTTACGAAATCACCCTGTACTTCAGATTTTGATTAAACACTTTCAAATAATACGTGTTATAAAACATTTGTGCACTTTTTTTATAATTACAATACGACAAGTTACTAAAAAATGGTACCAATATTTTTTTCCAAATAGAAACTTACTAGGATGACCTAGAAAATTCCTCTTTCAACACCTGTATAGAGAACTCTATTATGAGTTATTTTTTTCAGTTTGTGAAAGATGAGAATAGAAAAAAAATCAGAAATTGCTTTGGGTGCCCCATTCCTAATTTTCACATAATTTGAGGAATGATTGAGCTGTTTCTTACTTCCTACATCACATGGAGATTAGGCTAAGGGTGAACCTTAATTAGTTTTCAAGATATCAAAGGAAGACTAAATTAGTAATTGGGGTCGAGTTATGAAAGGTTCATGCTCACTATTTTCAGCAGAAGTAATTTGATAATTTTGTGTATTCTTGAGAAAATCATATCTAATTTTCTCAGTAGAAACCAATTTTATTATCAGAACACTACTCATTTGCTACAGTTGTTTTTTATTTGATTACTAGAAAGATTATTTGTATGTTATTTTTGAATTTGAAAGTGACCATACAAAAATATTTGGTGGTGACTAAAAAGGTTAGTAATTGAAAATAATTTTACAGATTTCATAATAATTTAATAAATGAAATTCATTGTGAAAATTATATAATTATTATCATGGAAAGTGTCAATAATTTTCATGAAGTAAACAGGTAGTGAATTCATAATTTATTGTTTTGATTGTTGTATAAGTTGTTGAATTGAAAGCATTTTATTTCAGTGCTGAACAAACTATTGAATTTTGACTATTTTTTTCAATTGTATTGTATTGTATTCTAACTTTGAGACTTGGTCTTCCATAGTAATAATTCCTGAGATGTAATAAAAACCACTACTTGAAACTAAAAACTGACAGTTTGCCCTCAGAGATTGTGTATTTGTTAAAAATTGACAAACATATAACATCTCAAAATTGTAATCAAAAAATGTCAGAGAAGTTGGAAATTCAAATAATTGAAATCATTCTGATTCTTTTTGAAAGTGATGTGATTCGCAGTCAGCTTTTATTTCATCAACGAATGGTTTTGAGTAAATTGTTGAAAGTTATACTTGGAATAATTCAGAAGAAATAGTTTTTTGTTGTCCATTTTTTCAAAGGAAATCTCAGACCTCATAAAATACAAATCCAATCTAAATTCTAATTCAATGTAATCTGGAAACTCCACATTCTATTAGTAAAATCAATCCCAGGCAAGTGCATATTTTATGTTCCTTAGTAAAAGGAGTGTCAATTCACATGTTCCACTCGAAAACCAGGTCAATGAGAATTTCACTCGTTGCGGATTTTTCAGCAAGAACTCTTTAAGGCCGTACGGCTTTGGTTCTTGGCAGGACGATGACACGTAACGAGATATTACAAATGTTGAGTTATTTATTTTTATCCTCTTCCTTGAGTAGTGATGAACATATAATAATATTTATATGATCATGGTCACATATATTTATTTCAAGTTTCTTGTGCATTATGAGATAACATTATAATTGTATTTTACAATGGTAGAAATGAATGAAAAATAGCTTGGATTTTTTTTAGGTGAGCACTGTAACAAGTGGTAGTTCATTATTCATGTTTTTTAACGTTTATTCTAATATTATATTGAAGGATCTGTGTCCAGAATTTAGACAAAGTCACAATTATTTTTGTCAATTTGTCACTTTGAAATAATGAAAAAATAAAAATGCATGGTAGTTGTTTCGTATTCTAACACTCAGTAGATCAGATCTTATTTATATTGAAAGGGTTATATCTTTAGGAATGACTAATTTTTGGGAAAGAAAGTTATTGGCTTTCTACTACTTCATCTTGATACAAAATAAATGTGGGAATCTTCCAAAGGAAAGAAAGAAGTAATCAATTTTAAAATAAGTAACTCTATACATGGATGTGTAGATCATGCATAGAAGTAACTTTCAGACACAAACTGGAAGAAAAAGTCCTCCTGAAACAGCTACTTTCATACACGAAAGAAAAATTATTTTGAAACAAATAGTGTAGAACTCCTGTGAATGATATCTTATTTTATTTCATAACGAATGTTTCGAAAACAAACTGACTAGACTTTTGTATAACTCAGTGTTAATATAAAAGTATTTGTTTCGAAAGAATTTTTCTTTCATGTAATTCAATGTTTATATGAAACTAATTGTTTCAGGAGGCCTTTTTCTTCCAGTTTGTGTCTGAAAGTTAATTCTTTGCATGATATCGTGTAGTGTCTGGACTACATGAGGTTGCCACTAGTTTCACCAATAGAAAACGTTATGAGAGTTATGTCACTTATTTGAGGAACTTTCTCAATTTTACATCTAGTTTTCACTCGTCATTTCAAACAAATGTCATTATTTTTTCCTTGAATATTTGTTGCCTAACTTGTGCCAAACATTTTTTTACACAACCTTCATTTTTCTTATAACTGGATTTCAAATAAAAAACAGTTTTATTGTAAGACTATTTTGATGTACCAGAAAATGTAACAAGAGTTCCTATCAGTTGGTTAGGAAATGTATATCATTTTTTGACTACCTCTCTATTACTGTTGAACTTTCTACTAAAGTGAACCGATTCAATAACAACAATTGATGTTTTTAAGTATCAACAAAACCTGCTATGAAAAAAAAAACTACTTTATAGATCATATATCAATTTCAA